TGACCCTGGACTCCAGGGAGCAAATGTGGACTCCACCCTTTCTGCGCTTAGTAGACCTTCTGGTCAGCCCTAATTAGTATGGGGCCCGTGGACTCCGCGCACAACACCGGTACTAGGGGCCTTATCTTCTACTAGGCCCCCCCTACCTGCCTATAGATACCTAGTTTCTCAGGCATCTAGCTACTAATAGAATCTATAGGCCTAGTTAGTCACTAGCTAGTTAGGTAGGGAAAGAATAGAATATTTACTTACTAGGTTCTAGGCCTAAGCCTACCACCATCCACCACTATTTGATCTCCCTACTAGATCATTTAAACCCCCAGATTGATTATCTAGCTGGCCCTAGCCCTAGAATATTAGCTATTAGTAGAAGAAGGGAATCCATACCTAAAACCTTAGCATTAAGGCACCCTGTCAGCCCTATCACCTAGTCTAACATTAGTAAGATAAATTAAATAGTAGACTTAGATATTCACTTACTAGTTCTAGAGCTAGTAGCCCTAAAACCTAACCCTCTTGACCTGACCTATAATGTCACCACTACACCATGCCTAAGGCATCCCATCCTAGTTAGATATTAGTATATTAGATCAGATGAAATATAAAAATAGATATAGTACTAACCTGAGGAGTGATGCCTAGCTAGACGCCTTAATACTAAGGTATCTAATTAGAATTAATAGTTAGTAAATCAATATTCACCTTAAGAATAAGAAAGAACTAATAGAATACTCACCTAGATCTATTAACTAGATCTATAGACTAGATCCACTAGTCAATCCATATATATATATATATATATATAAGGGGGGTGGTTAAAATCAAAAGTAAATATATATATATTTAAAAGAGAAAGATAAGATGAATAGTAAATATATATATATATTTAAAAGATAAAGATAAGATGAAAGTGAATATATATATCTATATTCAATAAGGGAGAGAAAGATAAGATGAAAGTGAATATTCTCTTAGATCTAGAGAAGGGAATCTAGAATGGATATATATTATTAGATTCAGGCCACTATTTAGTTCTGCCTCAGGCCTTTATCTTAATCAAATCTATTGAATGGCCTGACCTAGGTACCTTATCTATTGAATATCTTACCTTTGACCAATCAGATCACTAGATCTAGCCATGTGAATGATTGATTTGAAATCAAAATCATTAAATAACTCATAATGATGTCATTAGGCTGGTGAATGATTGATTTCAAATCAAAATCATTAAATGACTCATAGTGGTGTTACCCCGCCATCTTGCTGCCTAACCCCACATACTACCTAGTTACCCAGCCACCCTACTACCCAACCACCTATTTCTGCCTGATATCTAACTATTAGTCAATTAGATCACTAGATCTAGGCCGGTGAAGCCTGATTTCAACCTAATCTAATCTTATGACTCACTACCATGGAATCTGGCTGCCTCACACCTAATCATTAGCCAATTAGATCACTAGATCTAGGCCGGTGAAGCCTGATTTCAACCTAATCTAATCTTATAACTCATAACTATGGAATCTAGCTGCCTAAACCATATCTTTAGCCAATCAGATCACTAGATATCTCATCTATGAATTCAAAATCAAGATTCTAGACTATTCTACTAGGCAGCAGCCCTAGCTATGATGTCATCTAGCTACTAATCTAGGTATATGAATAATCTATTCAATATTACTATAAGCTGCCTGGGTGCCTTAACATAAGATATATATATCTCTAGTATTCCCTCTTCTTTACCTCTACTACTACTCAATAACCATTCTTCTCTATTGAATCATCTTATCTATATTTGCTGCCTTACTGCCTGAATATTTCTTTATATTCTCTTATATTTGATCTTTCTGCCTGAATTTCTATTGATTATCTACTATATCTGATCTTTCTGCCTAAATATATATATTTCATATCTACTATTCACTATGGCTGCCCCCCTACCCCCATTCTTTACCTATTATAGTGAATATTTCTTACTTACCTGTTCTGCCTGCCTGACTGCCATTCACCTAACCAAAATTTCAGATCACCTGGCTACCATGCACCCTGACACTCATGTGACCCCAGAAGCCCTAGATTCTATTAGGGTAGCAGCCCTAGCTACTAGTCATAATCAGATTCTGACTAGCCAGCCTATTGACCCTATTCCAACCCTGGCTAGCCCTAAGGGGGGGTTCCAATGCAAACTATGCAATTATATTCGGCTTAGTCAGCAGAATATTCGCCGTCATATTCACCAGAGCCATGACATCACTGGATATAAGGCCCAGGATGCTCAGGTGACTACCTGCCTCATCCAGTCACTAGATGGCCTAGGCTATTGGTTTAGGGTTAACCCTCCTGCCACTATGCCTAATCAGGCATCTACTAGCACCCTAGCTAGCCGCAAACGAACTAGGGAACCCTCCCTGATTGGTTCAACCCCTGGACCATCCAACCAGCGATCTAGGGTCCATTCACCAGACCAGCCTGAGGCATCAACCATTCACCAATCATACCTGGCCTCATTCCAGGCTTACCACCAGAATCTTAAGGCATCTAGGGTTATCCAGGTGCTAGACGCCACCCATGAGGCTAGTAGCTTCTTTAGTGAAAGTGGCTACCCCACCTTCCTAAATGGGAAAGATGCTAGTGATCTAGAGAGATTATTCACTCTAGAAGATCTAGATCAGTCAGCCTATCTATTTGCCATCATTCACCGCCTGCTATCTCTAGGCCAGAATCAGATGAAACACACCACTACCCAATCACTAGCGGCTATCAACTCATTCAGTCAAGATCCAACTAATCAGATGTCTCTACGACCCCTTAGGGCTCTCCAGAACCCTACTAGTATGAGGGGTTATGCCCTAATCTTTCAGGCATATCTAGCCTTTCTCCTCAATTCTTTCAGGCATCTATCTAGGGGGGGGCCTAGCAGCTATCTAGGGCTCTATACCCTAAATAGTCAGGAGAAGAATGATCTAGAAGCCCTAGAAGCCTTCCTTCTTAGGGTATCTGAGCCTGAGGCATCTAGATCACCTGATTCTGACTCATCTGATTCAGATGATTCAGCTCATGCTAGTCCTTCTCAGCAGATACCTGAGGCAGATCCAGATGATGATCTAGATTATGATCTAGATTCAGATGAGGAAGATGAGGCCCTGCCTCAGGCCCCCCAGCTGCCTAGTGAATCACTAGATGAGCAGCTAGTCCAAAAAGGGGTTAGTCTAGTCATGAATCTCACCCTCTTATTGGCTAGGCGCCATGTCATTCACCAGAGAGAGGTCCCACTTTATGCCTTTTTAGCCTGCTTTAGCCGAAACTATTCACATGACTGTTTCAAAACCATATCTTTGATTAGTCATTCATATTCAGCTATTATCAAATCACACCAATTCATTCTACTTCATTGGCTACACACCAATCCATTCACCATACCAGAGAGGCAGCCAGAATCTATGGCTGTTTTCATTCGAAACTGGATGACTAATTACTTCACTGGCCAATCAGAATCACCTCTAGGTCATGTGTTAGTTCTTCGAATGCTAGCACTATACCTGATTCAGACTAGTGCCTCACTAGGCAAAATTCACCCTATGGCCCCACACACATTGAAATATGGTCAGGTGACTMTCTCTCAGGGCCACCTGAGGCACTTCCTAGCCCAGAGGGTCCAGCAGCTAGCCCTAGCCCTATCCAATGATCTATTTCTGGAATTCAGCTATTTTCGCGAGATTGAACACACACTAGATCTTGATAAGGCTGCCCAGTATGAAGATATTAGTCAGCAGGCTAATRGCTGGTCATTTCTTAGGGCCTACCTAGATCAGGGATCACATGACTATCTGCTYCAGAAGGTTCTCCCTGATTCTGATTGGTTCACCCTAGTGGATAGGCCTAGTGGACCCACTCTGCAGCTAGTTAGGGCTAGGGSTAAGGCCTTTCTAGAATCTTCTAGTGGCTGGCTGAAACAGCTACTAGCTCTCTGTCATATGACTAGTGGSGCCCCTGCTAGGGGTACTGAGATTAATCAGGTGATCTGGCAGAACACCCCTATCAACCCAAGGAATCTATTTCTAGATCCAGTGAGYAAGCTATTCCTAATTAGGCTAGCTTATTCCAAAACATTCAGCCATACTGGCCAAGAGAAAGAGGCAGTGAGGGCTTTACCCCAGTCCCTTTCCTATCTAGTACTAGCCTATCTTGCTTATATCCGACCTTTTGAAGAGGCCTTGCTTATTAAGCTGAATCAGAAGCTGCCTGAGGCCCATTTTCTTCTATTCTATGATCACCAGACCTGCAAATCCATATCTTCTAGGGTTCTATCTAGAACCCTGAAGAATATGACGTCAGAAAGCCTCTCTCAGCCAATCAGCTTATCTCCCTGGCGCCATCTCATGCAGGGATTCATTCGCCATGGTCTAGGCCTTCATGATCCACTAGCCGAATTAGGTAATGATGACCTGGATGATGAGGCCCTAGGGGCTGACCAGATGCACCATTCTAGGGATACTGGCCTGAGAATCTATGGCAGAGAGATCGCTAGCTTCCAGGGGGTTAGGGCTGACATCCAGATAGCCCTAGTCACCTTTAGTCAGCGATGGCATGCCTATTTAGGCCTAGCTCCTGACCAGTTGATCATTCACTCTCTATTCTATAATAGGGAGATCTGGCAGCCTCAGGCAGATCATTCACTGAAACCATCTCAACCTCAGCTGACTAGGGGGATGGTATTCCCTCTGGATCAGCCAATCATTCAATTCCATTACCCTAGGAAGCCTAAGGCATCACCTCCAGCTAGAAAGGTTTCGATTGGCCAGTTCAATGAATTTATCAGCCTTTATGGATTGCCTCAGGCTAGTGATCAAGCCCTAAGGCAGGAAGATCTAGATCTAGATCTAGATAAGGGTCAGCAAGCTAGGCAGCTAGATCAATCTAGGCTGAATCTAGCTAGTCACCAGCAGCTAGATGAGGCTTTGCTAGATCACATGCTCAAAGAGTTCATGCAAGATGACCAGGTGACCTTCAGAAGCCCTAGTCAGCGCCAAGCATTCCATCTTATGATGAAACAGGTGCCCTATCTCTTCTTAGTGCTTCCTACTGCAGCTGGCAAAACCACACTATTCCTTTTAGGGGCTAGTCTAGCTACTAGTCAGGTGACTATGGTAATAGTGCCATTGATTTCCCTGAAGCTAGACCTATCTAGGAAGGCTGCTGCCTTAGGCCTCCAGCCTACTATCTGGGAACCTGGCCAGGTCATGCCACCAGCTAGTTCTAGGCTTATCCTAGTGCAGATTGAACATCTAGAACATTCTAGGTTCAAAGCCCTAGCAGGTGAATTGATTGCCCAAAAGAGACTAGCGCGAATCATATGGGATGAATGTCATCTGATTCCACTAGCTAAAAGCTATCGACCAATCATGTTGCGAGCCTGGCATGCCCTAGCCCTACCTATACCCATGGTATTTAGCTCAGCTACCCTACCTCACCACCTCCAGCAGGAGCTAGTTGATATGATGAAGCTAGGGTCCCTACCCCAGATTCCAATAGTTAGGGCAGATCTAACCATACCAAATATGGCCTATAGGGTAGAGAAGGTCCCTGACCGCCTGCCTGAATCAGATTCTGCCCCCTACCTGAGGCACTTCATCAAGAACTTTGAGATGAAACATGGCCCATTTCGGTCTAGTGCTAGTGGTCAGGCTAGTGGTCAGGCTAGTGGTCAGGCTAGTGGTCAGGCTAGTGGTCAGGCTAGTGGTCAGGCTAGTACTAGTGCTAGGGCTAGGGCTAAGGTGATCATCTTCTGCAGGTCGAAACGGCTAGTGGATTCCTTATATGATCAAATGGATCCTGAGGCAGCCAGATTCCATTCTGAACTATCTGATCAGGCTAAGCTAGATCAGCTAGATCTATTTCAATCTAGCAGATATATCTTAGTGGCTACTGGGGCCATTGGGGCAATGTTTGATTTCCCTGATATTGACTTAGTCATCCATTTTCTGCCTGGTGAATATGAGATGACTAGTTTCATGCAAGAATCTGGTCGTGCAGGTAGATCACCTGACCAGCCTGGATGGTCATATTGCCTAGT